CGAGAACTTCCTGCACGTCCAGCTGGAGATCATGGGTCAGACCCCAGATGGATCCCAGATGGATCCCAGTGGATTTTGGGGCTGAATCCTCTGGGATTTGGGGCTGATTCCTTTGGGATTTTGGGGCTGAATCCTTTGGGATTTTGGGCTGAATCCTCTGGGATTTGGGGCTGAATCCTTTGGGATTTTGAGGACCAATTCCCACAGGATTTGGGACCAATTCCTTTGGGATTTTGGGGCTGATTCCCACGGGATTTGGGGCTGAATCCTCTGGGATTTGGGCCAATTCCTTTGGGATTTTGGGCTGAATTCTCTGGGATTTGGGGCTGATTCCTTTGGGATTTGGGCCCATTCCCACGGGATTCTCCCGTTCCCGCAGTGAAGCTCCCTCCGGCCGAGCCCTCCCCCAACGTTTGGGTTCCTCCCAAGGTCCTGGACAAGCTGGGATTCGATGAGGTGAATTCCCTGGATTTTCCCATTCTCCTCTGGATTTTGAGTGAATTTCTCCTGATTTCCCCATTTTTTCCTGGATTTTGGGTGAATCTTCCCTGATTTCCCCATTTCCCCTGGATTTTGGGTGAATTTCCCCTGATTTCCCCCTGGATTTTGAGTGGATTTTCCCTGATTTTTTCCTGGATTTTGATTGGATTTTCCCTGATTTCCCTGGGATTTTGAGTGAATTTTCCCCTGGATTTTGAGTGGATTTCCCCTGATTTCCTCATTTCCCCCTGGATTTTGAGTGGATTTTCCCAGATTTTCCCATTTTCCCTGGATTTTGAGTGGATTTCCTCTGATTTCCTCATTTCCCCCTGGATTTTGAGTGGATTTCCCCTGGATTTTGGGTGAATTTTCCCTGATTTTCCCTGGATTTTGAGTGAATTTCCCCTGGATTTTGAGTGGATTTTCCCCTGGATTTTGGGTGAATTTTCCCTGATTTTCCCTGGATTTTGAGTGAATTTCCCCTGGATTTTGAGTGGATTTTCCCCTGGATTTTGGGTGAATTTCCCCTGATTTTCCCTGGATTTTGAGTGAATTTCCCCTGGATTTTGAGTGAATTTCCCCTGGATTTTGGGTGAATTTCCCCTGGATTTTGAGTGGATTTCCCCTGATTTTCCCTGGATTTTGGGTGAATTTCCCCTGGATTTTGAGTGAATTTCCCCTGGATTTTGGGTGAATTTCCCCTGGATTTTGAGTGGATTTCCCCTGGATTTTGAGTGAATTTCCCCTGGATTTTGAGTGGATTTTCCCAGATTTTCCCCTGGATTTTGAGTGGATTTCCCCTGGATTTTGGCTGAATCCCCCCCCATTTCCTCCCGGATTCCTGCTGGATTTTCCCCTTTCCCGCCGTGATCCCGGAATTCCGCCCTTCCCAGGTTTTCCTGATCAACCTGCGGCGCCGCTCGGACCGCCGGGCGCGGATGCTCCGGACGCTGCAGGAGCTGGGAATCTCCCCCAAGCTGGTGGAGGCCGTGGACGGGCGGTGAGCGCCGGGAAAGGGCCGGGAATTCCCGGCATTCCCTGGGAATTCGCTCCCGAGCCGCCTTCCGGAACGTTCCAGGGCGCTGAACCGCAGCCAGGTGGAGGCGCTGGGGGTGCGGATGCTGCCGGGATATCGGGATCCGTTCCACGGGAGACCCCTGACCCACGGCGAGATCGGCTGCTTCCTCAGCCACTTCCGCGTCTGGCAGGAGGTCGGGGGATTGGGGGGATTCTCGGGGGATTCTTTGGGGTTTTTTTGGGGATTTTTTGGGGGAATTTTGGGGATTTTTTGGGATTTTTTTGGGGATTTTTTGGGATTTTTTTTGGATTTTTTTTGGGGAATTTTTGGGGATTTTTTGGGATTTTTTTGGGATTTTTTGGGGATTTTTTTGGGGATTTTTTGGGGGGATTTTTGGGGATTTTTTGGGTTTTGTGGGGGATTTTTTGGGATTTTTTTGGGATTTTTT